ATTAATGAAATTTAAAAAGAAAAAAAATTAATTTAATTTCTTTTTAAATTGGCCTTTATTTTTGGAGTTATGAATTCACTTTTTAATGAAAACGCAAACACTTTCAAACACAATAATTTTAAATTTCAAAAATCATATCTTCAATATGGGTGTCTCCACGAAAATATAAGCCGAAAATGCAAGTCAATGGCTTTAAACGGTTTTATAACTTTAAATACGGGGTAGTGAAAAACTGAAAAAAAAATTAAAATAAAAAATTAAAATACATAGATATGTATTGGTAACAAAAAATATTGTATGGGGAAAAAGCTGTCAAGTCCGATATGTCACGTCCGTTATCACATTTTAATTCAAAATAAAACTAACAATGAATTGCTTCTGTTTAAATATGAATTGGTTGTAATGGTCCGTGATTTGACTCTTTTAAAAGAATATTTAAGAAAGGAAAACCTCAAATGATTCGCAGAGTTTTGCTTATTTTTACATGTACTCTGTAACCACTGCTGTTTTTGTCACGTCCGTTATGACCTCCCCTTCATCGATTTACCTGACACCTGTGTTCCAAGCGCACCTAATTTTTTTTTTGTCAACTAAAAGACGGTATAAAAGCCACTCAACGGTAATTTTTTTATTTATTAGTGTTTTCATATGATTTATTTAACTCTTAAAGTCATACGAATGTCACGTCCGACATCATGGAAACTGAACTTAACATCCAACAGTCTGAAAACCTACTTATATAAATATTTCAAAAACAAACACTCGCACACATACATGATACTTATAAAGAAACACAATTTAAATCCACAAAAATGCCAATCTTAATTGGCGAAAATGTCAGAAGTATGCAATGTAACATTTAAATACATTAGTGCGTTTATGGGTGAACAAACTTTCATTACAAAAATATGCATTTAGCCTGAATTTTCGGTGGAAAATTTGATAATTTTTATGAAACGAAAAAAAGGAAGCGCAACAGCTGTAATGGCAACAAAATGCTAACGACATGCCCAAAGTTATAAAATTTCATTAGTTGTATGCCATTTTTGTTTTCAATTAATTCATTAGTAATTATTTATTAATTCACCAATATATATATAAATAAATAATAAATAAGTACATGTGCTAGTGTGCGTTGAAGCCTAACAATTAACAGCTGCGTAGTGGTGATAAGGCTCAATTTCAATTTGCAATGCTTTGAATGCTTCGAAATAATTACCTGCGGTCGTGGTGGCTGTAGAGTAGAGTTGCCAGCTATCAGTTATGTAGATAAAATTTAAAAGAGGCGAAAAATTATATTTTATTGCTTTTGGTGGTGAGATAATTTCCTTTTGGTAATATTATTTTGGGTGCTGTGATGTATTTGGAAACGCGTTTCCGTCGTCCTTGTAGATTTGTTGTACCTTCTTTAGAATTATTTCGCGCTATTATTAGAGGTATTCACTGAAATTTTGTGAAAGCCATCGAGTGCCTCGAGAGTCTCCAAACTTGACTCGGATTGCCAAAAATTTACTCAAGGAACTTTTTTCAATCTTTAATTTAAAATTTTTCGAATCTAAGGAAGTCCTCCAAATATTTTCCAATATTTTTGCCCCACTTCTGGCAACCCTAACGTTGTCAATGGATATTTTCAATAGTTATTGTATTTAGTTGCAACAAAAGACCGCCACAAGCCTAGTTTATTTGCGAAGTAATCCAATACAGTCAGTTACTCATACAATTCTGTGGTTTTTTATGCTGATACAACTATACAAAAATTTGCAAATGGATCAAAGTAAATAAATTATAACTTTGTTAATATTTAAATGTGCTCAAATATATGTACGCAATATTGCAATTTATATTGATAATTTATTACATACATACATATGTACGTATGTATCTTTGTATGTACATACATACATACATATTTTATTTGAGTTAATATTTTCATCACATTTGCATTCGCCACATGTCAAGTGATTATTACTTCGAAATTTATAGGTCACGGTGGTAGCATATTTTATTTATGATGATGATTTTTTTCTAAAATCTACTAAAATATTTGTAAAAAAATAGATAAAATTACTTTAATATTAGAAAAATATATATGTATGTAAATATGACCTCGGATTGTCTCGCTTGTGGTGTTGTTTGGCATTTTAATCGTTGATTTCAGCTTTTATAAAATAATAACCCTAAAAGCACCGAGTACCGTTCATCCTTCGATAAGCAGTGGGTAGCCTTTAAAGTAGTGGATGTATGCACATAAGGGTGGCCTAAAAATATCCAGGAAAATCAAATTCTTAGAATTTTCCTGCTGTCGCCTTCCAAGACCATAGAAAATTAAACAAATATACTCTTAGTTTTTGTTTTCAAATCCTTTAATATTATCCAAAAAATATATATTTCGATTTTGTTTTTTAATATTTCGATTTTTTTTACTATAAAATTGAATCGTTGAGCTCGGCAACTGTATGTAACGGGTGATTTTTTAAGAGCTTGATAACTTTTTTTTTAAAAAAAACGCATAAAATTTGCAAAATCTCATCGGTTCTTTATTTGAAACGTTAGATTGGTCCATGACATTTACTTTTTGAAGATAATTTCATTTAAATGTTGACCGCGGCTGCGTCTTAGGTGGTCCATTCGGAAAGTCCAATTTTGGGCAACTTTTTCGAGCATTTCGGCCGGAATAGCCCGAATTTCTTCGGAAATGTTGTCTTCCAAAGCTGGAATAGTTGCTGGCTTATTTCTGTAGACTTTAGACTTGACGTAGCCCCACAAAAAATAGTCTAAAGGCGTCAAATCGCATGATCTTGGTGGCCAACTTACCGGTCCATTTCTTGAGATGAATTGTTCTCCGAAGTTTTCCCTCAAAATGGCCATAGAATCGCGAGCTGTGTGGCATGTAGCGCCATCTTGTTGAAACCACATGTCAACCAAGTTCAGTTCTTCCATTTTTGGCAACAAAAAGTTTGTTAGCATCGAACGGTAGCGATCGCCATTCACCGTAACGTTGCGTCCAACAGCATCTTTGAAAAAATACGGTCCAATGATTCCACCAGCGTACAAACCACACCAAACAGTGCATTTTTTCGGGATGCATGGGCAGTTCTTGAACGGCTTCTGGTTGCTCTTCACTCCAAATGCGGCAATTTTGCTTATTTACGAAGCCATTCAACCAGAAATGAGCCTCATCGCTGAACAAAATTTGTCGGACGTAAAGCGCGAAACACATTTCGAACCGAACACTGATTTTGGTAATAAAATTCAATGATTTGCAAGCGTTGCTCGTTAGTAAGTCTATTCATGATGAAATTTCAAAGCATACTGAGCATCTTTCTCTTTGACACCATGTCTGAAATCCCACGTGATCTGTCAAATACTAATGCATGAAAATCCTAACCTCAAAAAAATCACCCGTTACAAGTCCAAAATCATCTTTTCGTTATTGTGATCAAAAACAGTACAAGCCACGGACATGTATAGCTTGTCTTCCCATTTTTCGAGTGCAATCCGCTGTGCAAAAAATCATTAGTGAAAATAATTATTTCGAGAAACAAACTTTTTTAATCTTCGAAAGCCGTTTAACCTTTTAAATGTACTCACATTCGTAAAATACTTCGACCACTTGTGTCAGCGAGCATGCATAAGTTAAACTAATTTGTATTTTATTGAAAATTATTTGGCATTTTTATTTATTTAAATTAATTAAGTACATACTCAACTTCCACAAAGCATCCACTATTTCACAACTTTGATTTGATTGTATTTTATGGCTTGCTAATATTTATTTGCTAACTGGAGCATATGTATGTATGTACTTCAATTAATTTTTTATAGCAACAATTTATTAGACTGAACTTGCTAAACAGAATTTTTATTGCATTTAAATGCCTGCCAAATATTTTAGAAAACCAAAGTCCCCAAATTGTGCTACAACGCTCCCCAGAGCAAAGCGGTCGCACAAAGGGACCAAAAAATATTTAAAAATAAACAAACAAAAATATGACAGAATTCAAAAACAGAACTAAGAAAGCATAGCATTTAGCAAACCAATCATAAAAAATGTGAAAGCAAAAAAGAAAAAAAATTATGAAAAATTGCCATTTGGAATATGCTTCATGCACATTGTGCTATTTGCTGCCCCTGGTGACTGTTTTCTGCTGCATTTCCATTGCTGTTGACTTGTGCTGTTATTCTTGCTCTTATTTTTGTTGTTGTTGTTTTTGTTTTTGTTGTTGCCATTATCATCATTGCAAGCTTGCCACTTCATTAACAAATGAATAAGAAATGCAAACATGCATACGAAGGCAACAAACAGCAGCCAACAGGCAGGCAGCCTGCGAGCAACAAGACACCGCCGAGACTGGATATGTATGTATGTTTGTATGCATGTTGAAGCATGAAGCGGCAACATGTTGAGTGTGGGTACT